CGATGGTCAGGGGCGCTCTGGACTGTGTGGTAACTTTAGGAATCTGAACTGAAGATTTTTAATTGGCTGCAAGACTTTTATATCATGCGTGAATCCATCGTGGTTCTCTGTGGTGTCTCTTGTGAGGGCTTGATGACACCTCAAGAACTCTTTCCTCCCGAGGTCATCCACGATGAAAAGGGCGAAGTCTCTCATTGCCTCCAACTGTTTGACGGTGTAGGCCCTTTCGGGCTCTGGGGAAGCGCTTTGTTTGGGAGGTGGCGCTGAGGTCTGGAGTCCACTGCGAGTTGGTTCTGGGGTCGGTGGCTCCCGACTTTGAGACGGGCTTTAAATTTCTTGAACGGGTGAAACTGCCAGAAATTATTCAAGTGGAGGGAGTGCGGAAGGAACTATGTCGTCGTAGAACTCTGACTAAAGCTCCACTAATGGGGATGGTGGTATTGGCTCATCCACGGTTTCACTTTCATCAGTGGCTGAGAATGTGACACAGGGGAGACAAGGACTGGGGGCTGAGATGCCGAAGGAGCCAGTTTTTAGTGTGCAGGACTCTCTCAAGTGAGAACAGAAAGATGCCAGAAGCCCTGTAACTGGACTCTTGTGTTAGCTTTGGTAGCAGAGCTTTGCCAAACAGGCTGGAACACTTTGGCGAAGGTTTCCAGGCCAACGGCACCCCTTGCCTCTGCAATGTGGGGCCTAACTGGCTGCGCATGCAGACCACGCAGATTTTATTATTGAGTCAAAGAATGCCTGGTCCAAAGGTTGCACCAGATGGGAAGCATGTGGCAGGAGGCAGGAGAGGACAACCTCATTTTTCCTCACAAATCTTTGAGGTTTCCATTAGATGTGGCTGACAACATGGCCACCAACCAGCTTAGTTGCTGGGATAAAGGAATCCCTCAACCATGTGATGAAAATGGTCGAGGGGATCCACCCATTGTCGGATATCTGTTGGAGCATTTTAGCTACGTATTATGCACCAGAACACCAACATTTTTAATTTTGTTTGTTCAATTTCTTTGTCTATAGTATGGAGGCTGTAGGCAATGTCCATGTAGTGTACAACACTGTCTTTTTTGGCATTACTTTTTAAGAGTATTTTTTTAACACTTCATTATAATAAATCTTAAAACGTAAAAAAGGCCTAACAACTATAACACTTTATTACAAGGTATCTAAATTAAATTCTAGAAAAGTGTAGTTGGTGGTTGGTGGATGTTCTGGTGTGGTTTGCATAAAAAAGGGTGGGGCCCTGGGCATCGACATGGGTTTTCAGGTCATGAAACAACCTCTCCACATTTGGGGGAGTCACAAGTCCTTCCCCAGCGACATCGGCGTCCTCAGGGCGAGTTTTGGGTGATGCTGTTGTGAAAATTTCCGGGTTGTGACATTGAGCAGACCCAAAGTCAATTTATACTCTCAAAAATTAAAAAAAAGCATTATCTAGACCCATACTTCTGGGTTCTCAGGTAAACATGAATTGGAGGTCTTGTCCTCTTGTATTCAACAGTATGTGAGAGTTGTTCTCCTGACCTGTATATCACAACTCACTCTCTGTTTGTCCCTATAGTGAAGTTATGTGTTTCTTTTTTTTTTAAGAGTAGGGCCTATAAGTATATAATTCAGTATAATACAATACTATTATACATACGTATCGTAAAGTTGACACTCTGGATCCTCAATTAGTAACTTTTTTATAAATTTACTAACAATGGAACATGGGAAATAGACAGTTGATACATTCGATGTAAGTTGAGCATACTAAGACTATAAGTCATATTGTGATCAATGTAAATCAGAGAAGTATATTATTATAGTAGAGGGTTTTACAGCGCTCGCAACTGCTTAAGGTCATATGAGTGCCAAGGGGTGGGAGTCAACAGAGAAGTCTTTACAGGGAATCACACTTACTCTGCTCACCTCTCTAGCTTCAACAGCACAAGATCTGCTTCAACTATCAAGGCACCCCGGAAATAGCAGGTCACAAGAGAGTGATAAACATACAAAAGAAGTAGAGGAAAATGACAATAATAAGGATTAGGAAAGAAAAAGCAGTAGTTCCTTGTTGTAGATCAGGCACAGTTATGAGCATGACATGAATCATCCCATTTACAATTCTACTGTGCTTGAACGAGAAATGTCCCCCCTTTGGGAATGGCCTAAAGACACTACAGTCAGTAGCACTGTCCCGGGGGGTGAATCGGAGAAGGGAAACTTGTAATAAAAAGAAACTGTATTCCTTTTGTGTCTTAATGTGTACTTGTAATTTAAAAAATACACCTCCCACAAATGGTGTCATACATCGTGGAAGACAGAAAAAAACAGTGAATAAAAGCTACACGTGATCGCAAAATTGTAAAACATAAGTTTACAGACAATAGAATTTGAATAGAGAGGGGAGAAAGCTGGAGGACATACAAAAATATTAAATGGATAAGAAAGAAATAGGGACTATCAAGAGCAAAGGAAATTGCAAATAATTCTAAACTGAGGTAACATTAAAAAATTTTCTAGTCAGTCCTCATATAATACGATGTATCATTATCATCACAAACAACAATTTATAAAAGAAATTTGAAACAACTTGCTTCATTTCAATTTCTCTCCAACTTTCAAAACTTCCGAGACATCCTCATGATAGGCGTAGGCCTACTTTTCTTCACTACAAAAACAGCAATACAGTTTTCACTTATCTTTCACCTACAATAAATATCACATGTAAGTGGGAGAAGTGTCTGCTCCCTGCCGCAGTGTATTACATTCTCAAAAAAATTCCCTTTGAATTTGAGGTTCGAAGCTGTTCCACAAAAAAAATGAGTAACAAACAGAACTACACTGAGGGCATTTTTTAGTTTCAATCCCAAATCGAGATATAAAGATCAATAACCGTATAGTACCGTATAGTGTTGAAAAGGGCACTAATAAAAACTTTACCTATACCACTCACACCTAGAACAGTTAATGACAAAACAAGTATTATAAAAAATAAAATGTCAAATTTTCCAATTGTTCTGTCTTTCCTCTCACTCAGTGAACCATGATCCATTCCAGTTTGTACATGTAGCATAAGTATAAAAATCAAATGATTATGAACACACTTTTTTACAAGCATATTGAATAATATAAGAATGTTTAACATGATACTTATGTATAGTCAAACTTGCACATTGCTTTGAGATTGTCAGATCCCGAAGTTAGTCTTATTTATAGCCTTCATCATGTATTCTTTGTATTCAAAGCACCAATATAACATAAAAATAATTCGTACAAGACAAAAAGAACTGACATTAGCAAGGGTACATGTAATCAGAACACAACCATTAATTTGAAAGTAACTGTGATGAGAGAGAGAGAGTGAGCATGTATGCCTACATGTAACCTCTCTATAAGCCGAGGGCAACAATGCAGGCCAAGGACATGTTTGTTGCACATCATTTGTCACTGAAGTGTTCAGTGGTAGATAGGCCTATAGTATCCTGCACACTTTAGTTGCTCGTGTGGAGTCGGCAATCATCTGCAGGCACATACATTTATCTGGTATTGTCACCAGATGTGTCAGTACACTTTCTTCTTTCTCTCTCGGACATTACACTACACAAGAACCTGTCAGTGTTCTGCAAAGTTACGAGTTAGGCCAAATTGTGGCAGAGAGTTAGGCCAAGTTGTGGCAGAGAGTGGACCAAGGTGGAGCAAAAAAAGAGAAAACCCTTCTCCGTCCAGGAAAAATGGTTGATCATAAAACATGTATATAAAAGTGAGGCTAGGGGCCATAATTCATGGACATTTTTTTAACCAAATTTTTTCAACTTTGTTAATCTCCCTTCCTATAATACATTTCTCGCCTGAAATTCATACAGTGGAACTTGGATTCAACGAGAGGAGATGGATTCCCCGGTTTTCTTTTCTTCTTTAAAATCAATAAAAATAACCCAGATTCAACGAGCACTTAAATCAGCAAGCTCGGATTAAACGAGGTCGCTTCCAGGGTGAACAGCCCCCGTAGAGGTGGCTTTGCTCATTTTTCTCCCACAATGAACTTTATCTATCCCCGGAAACCATCCATTGCACCTGCATACTGAACCACTATTCACTTAGCCGATTGCATGCGACCAATCAGTGGCCTTCTTTCGTATCAACACACCCTTTGTTGGCACGTATATGTGTCTACTCTAGGCCTTGCGTGTGTCGGGGTCGGATGGGCGGCTTGCACACGTGTGACTGTATGTGTGTGTGTCAGAGGGGGGAGGATCAGTGGTCCGGGGTTGGAACTTCGCAGAGATACAAACGAGTCAGTCTTTTTTTTTCCCCGGCAACTGATCATTATTACAATGATAAGCTGGCCTTGATATAGATCTACATAATGAATTGTGCGCTGGTCTATGGAATGAAAAGTTGCCGTATGCTAGGTTCTACACAGCAACACAACTTTCTGGCAAACAATCGAGATGACGTACACAGCCGTGCATTTGAACTAATTGGTCTTTTTTTGCACAGCTCATAATATTATTAATATGCAGACATTTCAGGCACCACTTGTTACTTCTCTTTATAGGCTACATTACTTGCTCAGTGCCTGTAATTATCTACGCAAAACCTTACGTTAGCTAAAGAAAACTCGGATTCAACGAAATTTTAGTTCAGGCCCGGCGACCTTGTTGAATCCAAGTTCCACTGTACATAATAATGGTGAAATTCGTCTAATGCAATTTCCATGTCTAGCTGATTTCGCTATGTGCATGCTAGACTGTACACATTACAATGGAAAACATTCAGCAAAGGATGAATACTTATATGGAAAGCATGAATACTTATATGGATAATACATAGACGTTTACCTGATTTTACAATACCTGTATGATTCTTTCAACATCTTCAACTCTCTTTCATTTGAAAGAGTAAAAAAATGAAAACACAATAATCACATCATTACAAGCACCTCTTGCTAAAAGGATTTCACAACTCACTCCTATTTCCACAATTTAATAGTCCCATACACATCATTCACTATATTATTTTGATTTATTTAAGGAAAGCAAAACATAAGGGTGTCTTTAATCTTTACTCATCAGGAGAATGGATTTGTACTTTTTTTTTTCAAACAAATACACGTAAAATTTAACTAACAACATCCTGTTCGGTCGTTATTCAGCTGTCATATGTGTATTATAACTGTCCCAATATAGAAATAAGAAATCAAAGGAATATCACTGCAAAAAAGCCTCCATCTTGGGTTATGGAAAAAACTAGAACAGCCTTCATCCCTTTCCAAACATATTATCACTAACATTTTCACTTAGCACAGTAGCCCAACTTGAATAACGCAATCTCCAGTCCCAAAAACCTGTTTTACTTTGTTTTTCTCAATTTATTCAAAAGAGCATCAGAAGACGTGAGAATAACTAGGGAATCTTTGGCTCTTGTGACAAGGTTTAGGAGGAATTTATCGAAATCTGCATGCTCCTGATTTGTGTGAGGATCAAGGCCAATGATGACTGGTTTGTCTAAACCGCTGAAGTCTCTCACAGTGGTCACTAGGAGAGGACTCTTGCCCGACAACTGTGAGGAGGTTTGAGGCTTGGCCATAGAGTTTGTGGTACAAGTAATGCCAGCACTATTGGTATTAGTATTATCAGTACTGTTCGAGGAAGTATCTTTAAGGGATGACTCACAAATACCATCTTCAGATGAAGTCTCCATGGGAACTGACATGGAAGAGGAAGCACATGAGCTGGATTCTCCTATCTCATCACAAACCATCCGAGACTCTTCTGGAGCAACCAAATTTAGAGACTTTCCTAAGTCTTCTTTTGCTACTAACTCTCTCACTTCCTCCACTTCTTTCTTCTTGCTGACGAGGACTGCCATATCGCTGACACTGACACCGTCTTGTGTGTACTGTTGCAGCACCTCCTTCAACATATCAATCACAGTTGCTTGTTTACATGGCACAACATTTACCTCTTGGCCAGATTTGTATTCATGAGCCAAATGAGGCGAGTCTGACACCAAATTTCTTTCTACCCCGTCCTGCACAGCACATGAAGGTTTCTCCATAAACTTTGTGGCATACTCGTAAATTTCTTTGCTGTTTCTTGAAATTTCCCTCAGCATAAAATTATGTTTCCCAATCAATCCTGGAAGCCCGGCATTGAACTTGTGAACTTTTTGAGCATAATCCATGAATAGCCAAAAGTATCCCGCCTTAAGGTCTTCTGGTGATTTCACATTTTGTTTGGACAGGTTGTCTAGGAAGGAGTACCAGTCTCCATCGCGGTCCTTGAAGTTCTGAGCCTCATCGACAACGACACTGAGAACATTCTTATAACGTCGATCTCTGTCACCATCAGACATGAGCTGTCGCCTGCTCACCACTGTGCACAGATCAAATGAGCTGAGGATGAAAATATTGGACTTTGTAAGAAAAGCCAGAGAATTTCTGTTTTCCAAATTAAGTGACGAGTCTAACTTTGTTGTTAAATGGGGAGTTACTTTTACTATGACTGCGCAAACAATTGCAAAAATTAAAACAAAGTCACTCTTTCTTGTAAAAGACCTATAAATCATTACTCAACCTGAAGAAATTATACTCATCACGATATCACTTAATTCACATTGCAAAAGTTTTTTTAGGGAAATTCTTTGTAGCTGATGACAAAAAAATCAATAGATGGTGAGTGCTCCTACTAATTACAAAAGTTGATTTTCACAAATAAGACTTAAAAATATATGTATTATGATGTGTATGTTACACATAGCAGTCTGCACAAACAAAAGAAATACAAAGGAGACAAAAACTTTTTATATCAAGCTTTACTGAATTTGTTGGAGGTTTTAAAATACCCCCCCCCCCCCTACACACACACACAAAATAGGTAACTTTAAAAAAAATGCAGTTAGACATAGAGAACAGTGAGCAGCCATCTAGACACTGGTACTGCAATAAAAGGATCAACAGAAAATGGTTATAAACCTCAATCCAATATCAAATTATATTGGGCAACTTTGCACACAACAAAGTGAACTTACTTGACATAAGAGCACAGTAGAGGATTCTCCGCCACGTACAGAATTTGCTCGCAGCCACACCCTCTCCTCCGCAGCTCCCTGATCATCTCTAAAGCAGCAATTGTCTTACCCGACCCTGGGGGACCATGGACCCACAAGTCACGGGTAAACTGGTGGCTCCACATCAGCTCCAGCTGGTCACATGTCAGCAAGAAATAGTAGTCGGCATCATCTTTGCAGCTGGGACAAGAATGCAATGTAATCCAAAAATTGATGAGTTAAATAGAATTTCCCCCCTAAGGGACTTGAAAGATAAAATGGGTTTTTTGGGGGTGAACTAACTGTTGAATCATTTCAAACCATTATTAAAACGTTCACCAACAGTGTAAAAAAAAGAAGGAAATCTAAGAAGAAAAATCATCATAACTAACAGAAGAGGATGAAACAGTAAAACAAATCTTGACAGGTAAAGCCAATACGCAAAACAGCAAAACTGGCCTAAATGAACAATGTTTAATATAATATGACTGTCCAAAGAAAGGAGGAAAGTTCTCCTTTAAGTCTTCAGTTCGTGTATTAACTTTCCAATTACTAATATACTTTCCAGTTCTATTACATTTTCAAAAAATATGCCTTTCTTTTCAATAGCAGGAGTATCAGCAACATTTAGAATTTTACAGCTGTAAAACTCTAACCAGACTGAAACTTACCACAACATTACAGGTTGAAGAATGAAGTAAAACTATTAAAAATTTTATGGAGAACATAGCAAAAGAATGAAAACAAACTTTTGAAATATTGCAAGGGAGTTCTAGCTTTCCAAAAAACTGCCACAAAAATTGAGCAATAGGCCTACACAAAAAATATTACTAGTACTACAACATTTTAAAAAAAAGAATTAAGAAATGACATTTATGAGTCATCAGAATCAAAAGTCATATAATGAAACTGAAGAAAATGTGGCAGACTCACCTAAATGGTTTATACGATGCTATGGCCACGGTAAGACTGTTTAGAATATCATTCATTTTGACTTCAGAGGGCTTGTAGGTTTGCGGGTAAATATCAATGTCTATGGCACTCTGGAAGTATTCCATCATTAGGTGGCCATCAACATCAACAACATGAACTTTGAACCCAAGATGAGTGCTGCATCCCCCATGATGCACCAAAACTTGCTTCAGCTGCACTGCCACTTCCTTTGTGAACTGCCACATGCCTTCCTCCTCCAGCGCCCCAGATGTCACAGAGACTACATGGAGTCCATATAGGCTGCTGAACACAGCAAGCACTGCCTTCACCTTCTCTGGTTTACATGGCAACTCTAGCTCCAGCCCCCAGGCTTCCAGGCTGACCACGAGATGAGGCTCCCCTACAAAGTTCTCCACCAATCGTCTCACTGTGTCCTTGACCTTCGCATAACTGAATGAATGAAGAACATTCTTGGGCTGGAGGTTGAATTCTGTCCTCACTGTGAAGACGACAAACAACCAACATGATTTCATAAAAGAAGGCAATTTGACACCATCCAGTTTTATTATATCAATACCAGTAACACTGCATTTCAACTGTCTTAATCATTTCACTGTCAAATGTTTGTATATCCAGCCCACATGAGAAGCTATAGGTCATAACCATTAGCCATAAGTTCAAATGGAAAAATGCAAAACAATGCATCAAGCAGCAATGGGATTATAGACTCCTGAATACTATGATGGAGAGGACACTGATTCTAAAGTGCAAAAGAAGTGTGAATTATTAAACACTATAAGTCTCAAAAATAGCATCAAATCGTATTCTGTAAATGCTTGAAAACAAACAAGAAGTCAAAGAAAGTAAAACAATTTACAAAACTTTACAGGAACGCTGTGCAAACTGAAACTCAGCCCAAGAAGTTGAAATAGAACAGGTTCGGGTGTCACAAGTTTCATTTTTAGATTCCTGGCCAATATTCCTTAATTACATTCATAACTGATGCAGTACGGTACCTAATAATACATTAACATGACAATGTTTCCTAAAATGTCCAGTTTTGAAAAACAATGTTAAAATACCTGTCTTTAGAATATAAAATGGATTTTACTTAAAGATGACATTAAACATACATAGCAAAAGACAAATATTAAAACAATTAAAGCATCATATCTGAGTCCCATTTTCTTTCAATGAAATCGTCAAGGGCTCTCATGGTTTACAGGTTACGGTCTCCTGGGTATGAAAACTGACAGTGACGGAAAATTTTCTTCTCTAAAATGTTCTCCTTTCACCTCATTTCCTGCTCTCTATCCATGTTCTGTCGTACGTGTTCATCTCCACTTTCTGCCCCCTCCCCCATCCCATTTGCCCCTTCCTCTGGGCTCCTGACTCTGTCTCTGCAGCCTTTCTACTGCTACTCCTTGGCTCCTTCTTACTGCTGTCTTTCAGCCACACCCCTGATCTTAAGGTAGGAGAGATCTAACACCTAGCCTTCTTGGATAAGGGTGAAAAATCTCGGCGGTTCCATGTGCAAGTTGCGTACATTTATAACCCATTGGCGGTCCTAAAATCATTAAGCATAGGCTTCACCTGCCACCCAGGCAAAAATCAAAATTCCTACCAAACTGAAAATGTTAAATGTGTCCCATGCACTCATATAACCTTATTGTCCTTCTTGCGAGCGCCGTTAAACACCTACCAAAACAAGGAAAACGTCAGGAAATCTCATATCTTTTCCACGCTGGAATCCAACTCATGTCTTCTGCATGCAATGGTGCAACAGAGGCAGGCTCCCATACTTGTGGCAGGAAAGATCACACAAACTTTTGAGATAGAGAGGAATATATTATAATGCACTTACATTTAATTACTTTTTCTCTGGAAGCCTGAAGAGTGTGGGGGAGTGAGTAGATCAGTCTAGATCGAGGGCTCTTCATGGGAATTTTCACAAATCGTGAACGCAACATCTTCACATCTGAAATTACAAATACAACAACAAAAAATGGATCTTAAAAATCTATTGCCAAATGTGTCGCAAGTTCTACCTTCAGAAAAAAAGCTTTATCTTTTTTCATTAATTACCAAAAAACTGGATTTTTAGAGTTTGAGCCAAAATAGACTATTATGATTAATTATAATATCTGGCACCTTGTTTTTTCGATAGAGAAAAAGTCATCACAGTCAACAAGTGTCACACAAGGAACTGTGACCACCTTAAGCAAACAAAGAAAAAAGCGGGTGATTGGCGAACGGGTGTTCTTGTGTGGAATGCCGTATAAACTTTAAATAAGAAAATTCTGGGAGACATTCAAAGATGACATTGGAGACAGGCAGAAAGAAAAGGAACCATTATTCATAGTCTCATGGGTTTTGTAAACATAGAGGAGGAGTGTTTCAAACCAGAAAAGAATCAAACTACAGGGGTAATATTAGTAATAAATCTTATTATAAATATAATAATATCACCTTGTAATTCTAGAAAACTGGAAACAACTCATTTCTAGCCCCTAATCCATTACCAAACTTGCAATTATGATATGAGGGGAAAAAAGAAAGAAATATAGGCCATAATTTACCTCTTTCTTTACTCAACATTTCTGCCTTCCAGTCCCTAAAAGCAAGCTTTTCAACACGAGGGCGAACTTTGTTATCTCCATTTGAGTTCGAGTCTTGAGACCTTGAGACCACAAATGCCTCTGGGCAGTTACTGAACACCCCTCCAGGCATCTTGCACACAGACACCACAATAACCCGCCGTCGTTCCTGCCACAAAGGAAAGAAAAGAAAAGACCATTTTATTTATCTTTCTCATATAAACTTGCCTTGTAATGATGTAGGCCCTACATATACAATATATGAGATCACATTAATACAAACTAATGAAACAAAGCAATGATTAACATGCTCACATTCATGCACTTTTATCTTTTGAAACTACAAGGCATCTCTTTTTTTTCTATCTAGGATCAATAATTCTCTCAAGAACACACACCAGTGACCATGAACAAGAGCATATTTTCCTTTTTACAGTACTCGGTACTGTATTTGTTAAGAATATGAGTCAATCTGACAACAAGGCCAAGCTTCTTTTTCAATGAGAATAATCTGGCCCAAATTGTGAATCTACATAAAATTCCAACACAAAATGAAAAGAGCAAAACTATGGCACTTTTTAATGTTTGGAAGAAAGTTCATAATTAATATATATATCAGACGCCATCTTATTTACAAATTCCTCACAGAAAATTAGCAAAAAATAAAAACATGCAGACTGATATGTTGGGTTTGAGATAGTCTACCAAAATGTAAAAAGAAAATTACTTCATCTGGACAGTGGAAGACAGGAAAAAACTCGATGTCCCAATGCACCCCTCTGACGGGTTGACAATCTGGATCTGACCATATCACAGAGCCCATTTTCTTCTCTACAACGCTTACTGTGGAAATGAGAAAAAGGATTGATGCTGCAAGAAAAACAGAGATACATGTTTATTGATCCCTATCTATAGATACTTTACGGTGACACATAATGCTCAGTAAGCCTACTTATCATGACAACAAACACACAAAGCACACATGTTGCTCTTACCCTAACTGCTTGTAGTCATACACTCATAATACAGTACCCTACTTTTGATCTTGGGTTAGCTAACACCTCTCACTCTAAGACACACCTTGTCAATCAAGGATAGTTAATTTCCATCATCATCACCTTATCAAAATTGCTTTTCTTCCAATTTTCTAATCCTACCAAAACTGAAAATACTTAATCAGTCAGTTTAAAAAACAAAAACAGAGTACTTTCATTCTAATTGGAAGTGGCTGCCTGAAGGCAAAGAGCCCTAAAATAGAAGAATAACAGTTGCATTGCAGTCAGCTGACCCTGAGATCTACTGGCAGGGGTCTGCAAAGAAGAAGAAAGAACTTTTCCCTGACTTTTGGAATAAACCAGAGCCTCAGACAATATTTAACAAAACATCTTCCAGGCCCAATGATAAAAATGTTATTCAAACGACAATTGCACTTTTTGACAAATACCAATAAGTAATAGTGCTCATGAAATCACCAAAAGACATTCGACATTTTATTCTACAATTGGAATAACATCTTATTTCACTGATGATTAAATCTGAAATCATCACGAATTTTGGTGAACCCATTCTTTGTCTGTAAATAAAACTAATTACTAGTCTCAAGAGCAAATATTCCATCTACCAATTCAATAAAACATTCAGACAACTTTTTGGCTTTTCAAATTCAGCATAAGATCCCCTTACCTGTGTGTGTCTCTTCTTCCTCTGTCAGTTCTTCCCCCATCACAGCAGCTGTAGTGTCCTCTATTCCAAAATAGATGTGTCCTCCTTCATGGTTGGCAAATGCAGTAATGTACCTGCTGCAGTAATATCCCACCTTCTCGGGAAATGACTGTCGTTTTGCAAATCTGCCCGAGGTGAGCTGTTTGAATTGTATCTGTTTACCTTCTTGCTTGAGTGTGGCTTCCGTGACTCCAAACTCATACTCCGTCGGAATCACTGGCAAGTCTGACAGTTTGCTCTCATGGCCTTGTTTGGCACAGATCTTAGCAGCTGACTTGTAACTCACTGAATGCGTAGCCGTATCAGTCGGAAGTCTACAATGATATTCAACTGTACACAAATGCTCAGCGGACTTCACAAACAAGTAGAAATACTTGTCGTCAAAATTCCCCACAAAGTCTAAATAATTGCAAATATCATCGCCAGAGAGTATATTTGCCAGGTTGCTCTCCATCCCACTCCACCAAGCATCCAGTGTTTTTGACTGCACTTTTTTGTTATGTTCAACGTTGTGCATGACCAGAATTCCTCCGCCAGAGTTGAGGAGAGCACATGTGGACTCGAGTACATTGTTGTTTTCTTTACTGTGGATACCTTTGGAGATATGCACAGAGCAGGATACAAATATATCTCCATACGAGTGGCTCTTTTCACGACTGCAGAATAAAAAAATTAAAAAATTGTCTTTAATTTAAATACCGGTATTGGTGAATGAAGAAGTTTCCATCACACCTGCAAAATAAATTCACATTTCATGTAATCATAAAAACTCAAAATTATTTTATTTGGACCTTTGCCTCAAATACAGAATACTGGGGTTGTTGTTTTTTTTCTGAAACTTCTGTAGCCTACTGTTTGCTGCATCAGTTTGTATGTCTTGTCATTTATTTTTCTCAGTTTTATTGAGTTTTTGCTATTGTTGCGTTGCTTAAAAAAATTCCTGTTCATTTGTTGTATCACAATTAATTTTCTTTGTTTGTTATTTAATTTGTTTGTATATACAGTGTCGAACCTGCCTTAACGGAAACCCGTATAAAACAGAAACCTGTCTTAATGGAATCTCTCCGCTCCCCCTTTGATATATTCCTCTTTAATTATCTGTGTAAAAAGGAAACCTGTCCAATGCGGAAACGGAAAGAAGTGCCCGCTCTCTTCCAAGGGTTTTACCTGTTTAAGACAGAAAATGTTTTGCCCGTTCAGCCCTGATTTGAAACAAAACTTGCAAGTTTGGTTCCGTCTGCCGGCTCTAAACTTAATGCTATGCTGCCGGGCGAGGAAAGGGATTAGGGGTGCGATTTGAAGGTAGTTGTCACCCCATTCGTGCGAGCCCTGAGCGATGAAGATAGTCAGGATGGTGTGGGTGTGAAATCTCACGAGTGCCAGTGAAAGTGCTCGAGTGACGTTTCAACTCTGAAACTTTCATAGATAGCCAGAGGCCAGAGGTGTGAAATTAGTTTGACAAATGCCTGCCGCCCTGATTGTACAGCCAGCAAAGGAGAGAGTTCCTCCAATCGTTGTTACATGAGGGGTGGCATTGGTTGACTGTGCTTATTACACCAATGGGTGGGGCTAAGGGTGGAAGCAAAGAAGATATTCAAACAATTCCATTTTTAATAGGTCAACAAACAATAGTTCTCTGAAATGCAAGCACTGGTGGTAATAGAATAAATAAGATTGACGCATGTCATTATCAGAGAGGATAGCAGCTGAGAAGTGTGAAGTTTTTACTACTTGTGATTGCTTGCCGACAGGACAAGCCACCCTTGCTCCCACCAGCTGGGCCTTTGGAAACCCCATCCATCTTCCCACTAAATTTCCTTGTCTAAGACAGAAAATGTCTAAGACAGAATTTTGTTCTGGCTCCCTTGCGATTCCATCTTACACAGGTTCGACTGTATATCATTTTCTAAGGGGAGCAGGGGTATATATTGGTCATCTTTCAAAATTATTAAAATTTCATTTTATAATCATTCAGAATTCAAAGTTTTATCTGATCACTACATTTTTAATTATGTGTGTTTATCAGTGTAATGGTGTCTTAATTTGAGGAGATACCCTTGAGGACCATTTTCTATGTTTGTTGCCAGAGATCAAATCTAAGTACACATATATATATTTAAGTTAGGCACAGTAAAATCTCTAGATACGCAATTTTATTTTGGCATAGCTACAGTGGTTGCTATGGAAATGGCCACCATCTTGAAAATAAACAATGGATTTACAATCCCTACGGTTTACTTATTTACTGACCAAATTTGGTGAGAGCATTATACCTGAACCAGACCCTATCAGTGTTTAATAGCGAGTATTTTCAATAATTGCAAAAGAAAAAAAATGAGAATTTTCCCCAAGTATAAAAAACCTTTTCTAAATGTATGTTGCGTAATCGCTTGCCAATGGAAAAGGGTTTTTTTTTCGAAAATATCTCTCTAATACATTGATTGCAGCCTTGTCATCTATGTTTCCTGAAAGTTTCAAGTCAAAAGGATGAAAACCAAGGAAGGAGTAATGAAAAAAACTGCAAAAAAATGACATTTTGGGAAAAATGACAATGTGAAAATTCCGTATATTTTTTATCAACCCACCCTCATGTTTTCAAAAAGGCAATTTACGAGGAGAATAAAGACTTTCTCAATTGTCTCCATACTATATTTAGACAAAGAACTGGTTGATCTTCCAAACAGCCAACATCTCAATTTGCGCAGCCTGACCCAAAATCTGTAAAATCAAGGGTCACTCGTCCCCTTAAACAGCCTGTAGAGTCTCCTGGATTCAGGACCCACTCAGAAAGTCAAAGGTCCTAAGGATAGACGGACAACGAAATCAGCAGGTCACAATAGAAGAAGATGCAATATTAGAAGGGGAGTATAACTGACAGTGAGGGAGGAACATGTGCTGAAATAAGTGCCGCATCAGAAAGGCATACAGGCTGCTTTCATCTTTGAATAGGATTTCGAGGACCAGGGATGTCTCACTTTGAGCAAAACTGAGGATTTTTTAATTCAAATGTGAAGTCAGCCCTATCCTGTATCCAGGTTATCTTGAACAAGTGTGTTTTAGAAAGTTACGATAGACTGACAGAGTCACCAAAATAGAAAGTGTTAAAACAAAAACAAGACAGCCCAGTCAGAGATGAAGTGGAAAGAACAAGCAGTGGCGATGGATTCGACACAACTCTCCAAAAGTCAGACAGCAGCGATTAAAATTGTTAGACTGGAATCCACACTGTAAAAGACTGCGTGGAACTGGAGAAGAGTCACAGAAATTGACGTAGGGCCAACAGAAAAGTAGGAAGACATGGAAAAACCATCAAGAAAGGGCTAGCCCAGGAAAGGGAAAGGTGGAAAGTTTTTTGTGGCCAATGAGATGCAGGGTGAGAAAGACATGATGATGATGAATGTAATAGTTAAATCTTAAGTGGTATTTTTGCAATTTATATATAATATATAATGTGTCATGAAATGGGAGGAATCGGGTACACTTCCATTTTTGGGCCTGGTATCGAAAAAATGGCCGCTTTTTATATAAAAAGTTTTGTGATTTCCAAAGCTTGAGGGTAGGGTCGTCTATTTTTGGAAACTGCAAAAAGCACATTTTAAAAACTTTTCCTTTTTCCATCAATGTTTTCCTGAGAAACTCACGCTGAAATGTTTTAAAATTTTAGAGTTCGTGAATGATGTTAAGCCCCCCAAAATATTTGATAAAAGACGTCTGTATTTTCAATTTCATTATTTTGACGAGCGCCTGATTTCACCACTGAGCCATTCAATTCCAATACAGTCCGTGCCGGCTTTAAGCACGCCGGCCTTAAGCACGTTTCGGACTCAAGCACGCTAAACGGCTCTTACCGAATTTTTGATGCTATATAAATTACACGCCTATAAGCACGGTAACTTCGGCTTCAAGCATGCTTCATTTACAAGACAGTCAATATTTTCATGATGACACATTGAAGTTCGAACACAGTTTACCCCGCAGCAGTGTAGTGTGTCAAGAGAAACACAAAGAACGCAAGTGATGGACACATACACTCACACGGGCGGAGAGGAAGGCAGAGAGATGCACACAGCCGTGCGCGCGGACATAGGATCTAGCCTAGGCCTTGGGCAAAGCTACACACGATTTTTTTAAAAATACAAAGAGGGTCGGGGAGACGAGAAAGGGTGGCCGGCTGCGATTTCACTTTTGACCCTCGCTATCCATTAATCCTGATTGTGTATCACGCGCGAGGTGGGATGAAGGCGGTGGTATGAGTGGTACGCACAGGCAGTGTGTTACAGTAGGCCTAGTGTGCTGTATCGTGACTGGCCGTCTAAATTAAGTTTTCATTTCCCATTCGACCACAAAACAAAAACAAACAAGCGAACAAAAACTACCATGGCGGGTGTCTAAATAACAGTGCACACTTTTGCGGGACCGCTATAGGCCTACTTACAAACGAAGGGAAATAGCACGAGGAATTTTCTACACATGAAAATCTCTGGATTATGTCTACTTCGCACTTAAGCACGCTTCGGCTTTAAGCACGCTTAAGCTTTCTCCCGATGACCGTGCTTAAAGCCGGCATGGACTGTATACCATTTATTTTGTTTTTATTGAGTAAATTATTTAACTAGCGTAGACTAAATGATCAATTGTTAGAGATCTACTTGTTGCTAAAGTAAGGGTAGAACCAGCGAGAGCCAAAACAAAACTGTACATAGAGATCTATATCTCTAAGCTCTCCTAAGCCCAAGATACTAAACAATGTCTAGATTCTAGATATCTAGATCTAGATCTAGATTCTAGTTCTTGCGGATTATAGACAATAGATCTGAACTAGTGTAGGCTACACTTACATATTTGCAGATGTAATCATCTTCTGACTTTATCCAGATGGAAATAAGCGCCAATGCCAATGTGATAGAGGCAGAAAAGCGTTTTTTCACGGGAAAAGAAGCAATATAATGTGCAAGTGCCAGCAGTCAGCCCAAAATGAGCCCAATCCCGGCTTTACTTTGCTGCTAGATATTAGATCTAGAGTCTAGATTAGATAGAGAATCTAGATCTAGAATCTAGATTAGATATCTAGAAAAATCTAGATCAAGACTCAGAGATAGCAAAGAACAGTTTTATCAGTCATTAGCTCAAACTCAAAAAGCCCTGAAGCAAAAACATTTTCAAGACTAGATCTACGTGTTGCTTTCATGTTGTGCACACGCTGACTAAATTGTTATAAATTGCCCTCTTGTTTACATCAACAAACTGAATGTTCCATATCTTTCTTTTCGGCCACTCCAATTTTTAAAGATCTAAAATGTCTGCATAGGCCTCGGCCTAGATGACCGTGCGCGAACTCTTGCAGGCTAAACATACCCCATCTATTCATCTAGATCTAGATTCTATCTATCTCTGTCTCAATATACAATATTATTATTATGTATTTTTGTTCTTTTGTTGTTGTCTTTGGTGTTGTTGTTGTGGGGGTGTTATTATTGTTATTATTCTTGTTCTTGTTACTTTTGTTGATGATGTTGTTCTTGTTGTGGGGACGCTGATGCAAATGCCTGTGTGTTCAAGTTCAAGACATCATGTACGTCTTCTAGAAATAATACACGATCGATTACAGTATAATGACTACATAAATGCTCTTTGCAACGTGAGCCGTGGATCTCATTCATGGGCTATATTTCCACCCTCTGCTAGCAGCTGATTGATATCATTTGTAATGCCAAATGAAATTCATTAAAGTGAATGCCTATAACTATAAGTGCTGAGGCCCACAAAAAATTACTCCATGTTTCAGAAATGAAAAATAAGTGTAGGCCAATCGAAATAATGTGTAGGCGGGTAGGCCTATATAATAATATGAGGCCAGACCACCATTAGTATGAGGTCTTTCAGGGAAATGTCATTAGTTTTATTTTCACTATTCGATGTTTATTCCTACTTCATTTTGCACAGTCTGTTCAATATATATACTTCGAGTAGGACAAACCCGAGGCTAACCCATAGAGTTACCTCCTTTTAAACAACATCTATGGGCTAACCACATATTACTAATGGTTGCCAATGTCGAAATGGATCTCTGTTATTTTAGGCTAGGGAAAGTTCAAGCCGCTATGCTCGCCCCCCGCTCAAGAAAAAGGGGGATAAGTGCCAAAATTAGATCAAATGCTAATTACAAGCAAATATGACGTACAGACACCATGATTATACGTACTGAAAATAACTACCTCATTTTGCAAGATTTGAAAACATATTTTGAATCCGCAAAAAAACATACATGAAAGGTCTATTCGTTAGAGACTACAATATATAACCCCTAGATCAACAACCGTACAGGTTCCATACAATTAGAAAGTGTTGCAGGGTATACAAAAAAAAAGAACACGTACAAAAAAGTCATCCCAAACCGATTGCCCGAACAATTAGGCCTGTTTGTCGGTCTTGATCGATAGCCTAGTGTCAATGGGTCAGCAACCGTCAGCCAGAAGGTCTATTTTTAGCAATGTCAATTAATAGTCCAATCCAATGACCCAATCTCTGGCTCAAACAAGGAGATTAAATTTAAACAATCCTAAGTCCCATGACTCCAATACGGCGTACGTATTTATAATATATATTCTATGGTCCACATGATCAGGAAAGACCCGAGACCGGGAAAGGCTACGCCTTCTCTTTCGTTCGACCCAAGACTCAGTAAGACAAGACGACACAACAGCCTCATTTTCGTTCCAACTGGCTCCCCTTGATAACCAGCTAGATGCGCGTTTAAAGCGTAAACAAACGACAGGAAGAAAGAGCGCACTGTTCAACTCGCTGAAATAGATGCCTAAATCTACTTTGAATTTCATAATGGCAGTTTTGCTTTGGGTTTTTTTTTATCATATAAACTGTTTGGTATTTATTTCGACTGGTTTTTGTTCACATTTTGAATATAGTGAGTTGGGAAATAAGATTTTAATTAACGGAAAGCGGTAGTGAGTTGAACATGTTCAGTGACATGATGATGTAGATATCTAGATCTAGATCTAGATATCTAGATCTAAATTTAGGAGTTTACGAAACGGTAGAAGTACATTAGATATTACAGTTTAAAAACAACAAAACAGCCAGTGGTGCTCTGCAATGAACTGTTCTCTAACAGAATATACAATAGATTGGATAGTTTTTAAACTAAAGATACGGTCCGAGGTGCCAGACGAGGGTGAAGACAGGATCTGCTGGGCAAGTCACCAGAATGTCTCTTTTCTGAGACAGTTCTCTGCTCTGAGTCTTGGGTACTTTGCGGACTCTCGGTTTCTTGGTGCTAAGGCAAACCAACTGAAGGTGCAATGCAGCCATACCTGTGTTATTCAAAGTTCCCAATCCCCGTACTCTAGAAAGAAACAAACCACCCCAAAAGGACTTACGATGCTAACGAAAGACTCATGCTCTTTTACAACGTGGAAATTCCTCAATCTCAAACATTATTTTCACAAGTAAAAAAATCTTGTTCATTTATCTAGCCAAGAATAAGCTATACAATTTTTATTTGTTAAAAGTATGTGTATATACTGGATAATAGAAGCGAAACCTCATCACATTGTGTTTGTTAACAAGGTAGGCCCTAAGTAATATATATAGGCGCCTATACTTATACTACAGCCTACGTTTTAAAACAAAATTGAATTTCATTTGGAAATCAAAATAAAACAAAGTGATACACATCATGTAGAATGGAGACTCTTATATCACTGGAAAGGCTAACTGGGGTAAGCTGTCAAATCCATGGTTCTGGAATGCTTAGGTTATAATTATTAGTACATGTAGTATATCACATCAAAGAATGAACAACAATAAAAAGAACAACAATATTAAACTCTATGACTCTGAGTATGAGAACCCTTTAATACGTAGGCCTACTGTTAATTAGAGAAAAGCATAACATTGAGAGGAAGAAAAACTCAACAAATCCTTTTCTTTGTGGCCACTATAATCTAGATCTATAAACTTTGTTGTCTATACTGTGCCAGTGAATGTGATGCATGTGTGTCTGTTGTTCATGTTATAGTTATATAAATGCCACTCATAATAATGTGTTGATTAAATCATCACACCATTCTTCACAAATAGTATAATTCTATGACTTGAAAGATTCTGTTTTTGCAGCTGTTGTAGCTCATGTTCTGGTCCACAGTTAAGTTGCTGCTAGGATGGCATTCCTCTGCCAAGTAAATCGGTTTCTGCCACATCCCTTTTCATAGCAAGTTTGACAGTTTCTTCAATGCTTCACTACAAATACAAACAAGTCATCTGCAATTTACAAGCATTGTATCAAACCAACTTTACCCCCACATTCCCCTCTTGAAATATAACATTGGTTGGTTGAAACAATTTGAAATATGGCAATGAACCCCCCCCCCCCCCCCCCCAAAAAAAAAAAATAAACAAAAAACAAAAAAAAAGCAACAACAAACAAACAGAAAAAATCACTTCAAAAACCCTACCTAGCATTAATAAAGACTGGATACAAATAATCCAAGCCCTTTTGATTCTGGTCAAGGAAACTGAAAGGGTGGTGGTAAGTATTTATTCAGCAACATACATGTTAAATCTGTAAACCTTTTTGCAGCTATCAAAGGAAAAAAAACAGTCACTAGAGACAATCCTGCCCCTACCCCCAAGATTTTTGCACATGCTTTTCGCCTAATAATGGTAAATAAAGTCCTCTAACCAGTCCTGGTATGAACTGTAAAGATGACATTGACCACTTCCTTTCAGTTTTGCTTCCAGGTAGTTGGGCCAATAACTCAAACATTGCACCACCTAAGTGTGCTCATAATATAAAGTCCAAAAAGAGGAGCAGCCACCAATGACTAACCTCATCGAGTCACTGAAAGTAGAGTACCTGGTGCAGTTTGAAAATGTTGTCACCTACAGTAGTGGGTACTTTCTTCGAAAGTGTCTCCAGTCATATGGGGCAATTCTAAGATTTTGAGAAAAACGAGAATCTAAAATCTAGATCTAATTGCCCCACAAAAGTGAAGGCTTTCTAAAGCCATATTTCCTTCTGCTTGTACGCCCGGTCAGAAGCTGTGGGACTGTTTGAAGCTATTCAAGCTTCTTTAATTAATTGGGGAAAGGAAACTTAATATTTTTGGTCGGGGGGGGGGGTAAAAAACCCCTCTTTTTTTTTATAAAAGAAATTAAAACCCCCGGAAACTTTTTAAAAAAAAAGTTTGGCCCCCCCCCCCCCCCCCCCCCCACAACCCACCCGATGCAGTCAGTGATTGAAAATCTAAGACTGCCACTGCTGCTAGAGTCCAACTGTTGACTAGGATCTAGAGTCTGGATCTAGATCTAGATAAACTAGGCCTACACAGCGAGCTGTTCCCAAATGTCAGAATCAATTATCATGAACTGAAGTTAAGAAACAATGGCACTCCTGTACAACAACGGTCCCGTTTGCACTAAATCACGCAAGGCCTAAGTGCCCGGTGTTTCTTATTTAGATCTAGATCTAGGCCTAGATTATAGATATATTATATAGATATCTATATATAAGATTCTAGATCTAGACCTAGATCTAGGAATCTAGATCTAGATTCTATATCTAAACTGAATTAAAATTATAGATCTAGATCTAGATCTAGATCTAGATATTTAGATTAGATCTAGATCTAGATCTAGATTCTAGATCTAGATATCTAGATCTAGATCTAGATCTATCTATATAATCTAGATATCTAGATCTAGATCTATATCTAGATTCTAGATTCACTGCCACATGACAATGATGGCCGTCATGTAAACATTAAACGGGACCATAATATAATTGTACAGGTGCACCGAAAAAGAAGCCATTGAAACGAGCACAGAAGCTTAATTAGACCTAATCTAGATCTAGATCTAGATCTAGATCTACTGTTGATATGATAGTATGAATAAAGTTGCATGATAGTGTGTCTCCGCCAATTCACAGGCAAGTAGCCTAGTCAAGAGTCGCCCTTCGGTCATTCGCCAACCACTAGATCTAGATTCTAGGGCATTCTAGATCTACTTTCCGAACTGCACTCTGTCTTGGATTCTAGATCTAGATCCTGGCGTTTCTAGATTTAGATAGGCTACGTTTATTAATTAAATACTCTCTCTGGGCTAAAATATATAATTTTAGTAGGCCTAGGCTAGACATACCGCCCGAGATGATCAGTAGCCTTGCATTGTAACCAATGTAAACTATCGTCAGCCCAGCGAGTTATACGCGCATCTGGCAAAGTGGGAGGGGCCTGCGCTTGTCACATGACGTAAAGAAGAGTTGTCCCGTCTTGTCTTACTGAGTCTTGGGTTCGATGGTTCGACTGAGAATGAAGTGCTATATTTGGAACGTGACGTAGGCTAACCATCCTTTCAATTATACATTCATGCGAGATTGCACAAGAGGATAGCAACAGTCCAGTTCTGAACTTAAAATAACATTGGTTGAATATAAAGCGCTTCTGAGCACTTATTTTATTCAGTTTATCATAGGTCGGGATAGCACCTTTCCGGGAGAAGACGTGTCTGTTCACTAATTGGAGAAGGACCGAACACAGAAACTTCAAAATCAAAGGTAAGATAGTTTAAAATTATGATCGATCATATGTATAGATGACAGTATCTATCTATCTATCTATCTATCTATCTATCTATCTATCTATCTATCTATCTATCTATCTATCTATCTATCTACGCCTGACTGGCTCTCAGTCTGTGCATCTGCCATCTATGGTGAGATATGAACTGTTGTAAGACGATTAGGTCTAGGCTAGTCTTTTTCGTGTAGCCTCCTGATTGTAACAATTATAATATTTACGAGCACAGACTGTAAAAAGCGCAATGAAAAATAATACTTTTGTAGGAACCGTATTACTATATTATTGCTAGCAAATTAATGTACAGTGTACCAATAATTAATAAGCCCAAATAAGCAACACTTTTCAGTTGACGGGGAAAAAACCATTTCTTTTTTTAAACAATTACTTTGACATTAGGCCTATAATCTGATTTTTGCTATTTTCAACATTTAGAATTTGAATCTCGACAAAATATCTATTGAGCGCCAGCGACCCATACAGATGTAGAAATTGGGAGAGGAAAAAATAACTAATTGTAATATTGGGCTTTATAGTATGCTATACACATGTGTGATTATATTATTATGTGAACAGCTGTTGGCCGATGAATGAAACAAGTCTGCTTCGTGACAATATTTCCGCAATGTTTGTAACGTATCTGAAAGTTAACATATCTTTTTTTCTGGTTGATTGTTGTTTTTTCTTCACTTTATAGTTTTCGTTCTTCTGTATAATATATTTTCTTTTCTGTTGCTTTTAATAGTGCTGTTTTGTTGTTGTTGTTGTTGTTGTTGTTGTTGTTGTTGTTGTTGTTGTTGTTTTATTGTCGTTGTTATTATCCCTGTCGCTGTTGTTTTTGACGCTATTAATTGTTGATGTTGTTGTTTATTTGTTGTTGTTGTAATTGTGGTGGTGATGGTGGTGGTGGTGGTGATTGTTGCCGTTGTTTTAGCTGCTGCTACGTACTGCTGCTGCTGTTGCTGCTACTGTTGTTGTTGTTGTCGTCGTCGTCGCCGTCGTCGTCTTTGTTGGTGGCGGTAGCGGTGGTGGTAATGGTGATGGTGCCATCGTGGTAGTGGTTAAGGGGGTGATGATGATGTTGTTGTTGGTGTTGTTACATGTAAATCCAAAACCGTATTATAGACATAATATGACACATTTTAAAGTGTAGTGCTTGATCCCCATCAAGATAATGGACCGGAGGAAACTATATAGATCTAGTCCCCGT